AGAAATGGCTGAGATCTACATGAACAACCTGGACATGAGTGGGAATAATGAAGGGCGAGGGTCGAGGGAAAGAGAGCCTGTGGGAGTGGGAGATCCCAGCTGGATCAAGAACAGAGAGGGAGAACAAGGAATAGGAGACCATGGTAAATGAAGACCACATGAGAAAAGGAAGAAACAAAGTTCTAGAGAGGCCCACCGAAATCGACAGATATCCCCACAATAGATGGCTGGCAATGGTCGAGAGACAGCCGGAACTGACCTACTCTGGTGATGGGATGGCCAAATACCCTAATAGTCATGCCAGAAACCCCATTCAAGGACTGAGGAATCTGGATGCAGAGATCCACGGCTAGGCCCCGGGTGGAGCTCTGGGAGTCCAATTAGCAAGAAAGAGAAGGGTTTATATGAGCGAGAATTGTTGAAACCAAGGTTGGATAAAGCACAGGGACAAATAGCCCAACGAATGGAAACACATGAACTATGAACCAAAGGCTGAGGTGTCCCCAACTGGATCAGGCCCTCTGAATAAATCTCTGAAGTATCAAAGGCCACCTGGCCAAACATCCTAATTGTCATGCTAGCTAGAACCTTCTATCCTGAGTCAAGTGCCAAACCTCTGTGAGAGGACTTTCTCACCTAATGTCCCTAGACTCACACACTCTGCTCCCTGGAGCAGGGACCCACTGCTCCCTTCCCCACAGTCCACCATGGCAGCCCACACCCAATGCCCCAGGACAGGGTGGAAATCAATGTCAGTATGTGCCTGCAGTCCCACAGCCTGGAGGTTCTGTCCAGTTGCTCACCCAGCCCATTGCAGGGAGGGGGAACTGGGCAGGAACAGTGTCCTGGAGCCACAGATTTGGGATTTAAAGCCTGGATCCACATGCAGCTGGGACAGAGCCTGGGATCTCAGCAACCTCTGAAGACCTGAGACTGTGAAGAACACTTGCCCAGCTGTGGACATCGCAGGTGAGCCCCAACACTCCCCTAAGGCAGACTGAGAACTGACACTGGAGGAAAGCCCTAGAGAGACTCCATGCAGGAACATGCAGCTCCCTCAGAAATGAGAGTATCAACTCAACCTTAGCAGACCTGGTGTGGGGATGCAGAGTTGGGTGAATGGGGATCCCAGGAGGTCACCAACATTTCAGGGGAACTGTGTTATTCAGTATCCAAGTAAGTTGAAAGTCAAGGCACAGGCACAGGAAGTACTATCTTGTCCCCTAAACTCTGGCTGTCATGGGCATAACTCCAGTAAGAACACGAAACATCATTAGGCATATCACTGCCACAAAAAATCCATCAGTCTACTATGGCAGGTTGAGGAGATGAGCATATGCCATGTCTTTTGACAATTGCCCTATCTTTAGTGTTGCATCAAAAACTTATAAGACTGGAGCCTGGACTAGTCTGTCCTTCAGTCCCACGTATACAGGTGGTTCTGTCATCCAATGACTTAGCCTTGTGACCGGGCCTCACTGAGACAATGAATTGGAGTTCTGAAGGCACATGCCAGTTTTGGGGCAGACAGATTCCTAGCTGTTGTCCTTCCAAGATTTTCCAGAAAGGACATCCCAGAAAGATTTAAGATGGGAAGAAGCTAAGGGATAGTTGCTCTCTATGTGTACACTGGCCAAGAAAAAGATGGCTGGTACCCTCAAATCATGGAGATCTCTTTGTATGTACTATGGATCACGCTGCATAAGTCTTGCTTAACTGAGCTAAATTGGATGGGCACAAAATCTGAGATAACTATGTCTTAAGAAGCTAATTGTTAGCCAGGTGGTGATGGTGCACGCCTTTAATCCTAGCACTCGGGAGGCAGAGGCAGGCAGATCTCTGTGAGTTCTAGGCCAGCCTGGGTTACAGAATGAGTTCCAGGAAAGGCAAAAAGCTACACAGAGAAACCCTGTCTCGAAAAACCAAAAAGAAAAAGAAAAGAAAAAGAAAAAGAAGTTAATTGTTGCTTTAAGCCTCTGTGGTGGTATTGTGTTCACCAAAATATTGTGCACCCTAATTAACTTATCTGGGGTCAGAAAACAGAACAGCCACTAGATACAGAGGCTAGAAAATGGTGGCACTCACGCCTTTAATCCTAGCATTCCAGAGGCAGAAATCCCTCTGGATCTCTGTGAGTTCAAGGCTAGACATGCTGACAAATGCCTTTAATCCCAGAAAGTGAGCCTTTAATCCCAGGGAGTGATGGCAGAAAGCAGAAAGGTATATAAGGCATGAGGACCAGAAACTAGAAGCTTTTAGCTGGTTAAGCATTCAGGCTTTCGAGAAGCAGTTTAGCTGAGAGCCATTCTGGATGAGGACTCAGAAGCTTCCAGTCTGAGGAAACAGGATAAACTGAGGAACTGGTGAGGTGAGGAAGCTGTGGCTTGTTCGGCTTCTCCGATCTTGCAGCATTCACCCCAATACCTAGCTCTGGGTTTGATTTTATTAACAAGAACTTTTAAGATTCCTGCTACAAGCTTCTGAACCCAAAGGTGCATCTGGTCCCTGTGGTGAGTTAAATGCACAGTGCACACACTTCAAATCTTGGGGCCTGGGCAACTGCTCTTCTTCTTCTTCTTCTTTTTTTTTTTTTTTTTTTGACTGACGGACTCCCTCTACATATGTGTTTGAAAACAAATGGATTCTTAGTCTTTTAAATAATCTTCATGTAAACCATTGATAGAATGGCTCAAATAATTTCATCCCATGGGGCAACCTGAATTTCTGGGGTAGAAATATGATTTTATTGAAGCACTGACATAATCAGAATCTCATTTCTTCTCCATCTCTAGGTTCTGGGATCATGATTCCTATTTTCTTCCTGGCTGCTCTTTGTTTGGGGCTGGTCTCAGCTGCTCCAACACATGATCCCAGTTTGGATGCTGAATGGCATGAATGGAAGACAAGACATGGGAAATTATACAGCATGGTCAGTATAATGAAAACTACCCAGAGGCAACACAGAGACATTGGTCCTTGCTGTGGCAAATTTAGATGGAATTCATATCATGAAAGCCAGTTCCTCCCTGGCATGACCACAATTTATGAAAATTGATGGCAAACCACCTTATTGACATGGATGCGGTCTGGATTATGGCTTCCATAGGTGCACAGCTTCCTTCAGTTTCCATCATCTATAGCAGCAGGTCCACTGAAAGAACTAGGGTTGGGCTTAAATTAAAATGACTATATACTGTATTTATTCCAGAATGAAGAAGGACGGAAGAGAGCAGTGTGGGAGAACAATAGGAAAATGATTGAGCTGCACAATGAGGACTATGCTAAGGGGAAGCATGGTTTCAGTTTGGAGATGAATGCCTTTGGTGACTTGGTGAGTATGACATGAATTACAGAACATGATTTCTTCTCTTCAGTTCTTTGTACATCATCTCTCCCTTTGCAATGATTTGTTTACTTTTTTCTTGAAGACCAATACAGAATTCAGGGAAATGATGACTGGCTTTCAAAGCATGGGACCCAAGGCGATGAAGGTATTCCAGGAGCCTCTGCTGGGTGATGTCCCCAAGTCTGTGGATTGGAGAAAGCATGGCTATGTGACTCCTGTGAAAGACCAGGTAGGACATGTCACGTTCTCAGGTGACAGAGTCCCCCACAAGTCAGGAAGAAAATGCCATTGTTGTCTTACTGACTGGAGCCAAATAAATCATTCACTGCTTGTGAAATTACTGTGTCATGTGAATTTCTGTCAAATATCTGTATTAATATTGTGGATGACAGTTTTTTTTTTCTTTTCTAGGGTAGTTGTAGATCTTGTTGGGCATTTAGTGCTGTTGGTTCCCTAGAGGGTCAAATGTTTCGGAAAACAGGCAAACTGATTCCTCTGAGTGTACAGAATCTAGTGGACTGCTCCTGGTCATACGGCAACAGTGGCTGTGATGGTGGCTTGATGGATTATGCCTTCCAGTATGTGAAGGATAATGGAGGCCTGGACACCAGAATGTCCTATCCTTATGAAGCACAGGTAAGTAGGAATCCTATGTTGTCATTCCAGCTCAGGTTTTAAAGCTCAGAACAATTGTGCAGACAATACACTGTCCTAAGAACTCTTTCTTCAATGGTAGAATCTATCCTGTTAAATCCTAATTGCTGCCATTAAAGTATTAGCCTTTGTATGCTGGTCAGATTCCATGGTTTCCATGCAGCTGCCCCTGCTTCTTTTTACATAGAGTATCTGCAAACCATTCCACAAATAGTATGGATTTCTCCACTGTAGAATATTAGGAATATCTATGTGGTGTCATAGAAGATGCATGAGCTAGTTTCTACCAGCCACTGAAATCTACCAGCTTGTCAGGACATGTAACATTTTATAAACACATACACTTGGAGATCCTCAGCAGCAAATGCTGTCACCTGCAGTTTTGACTTATGCTCCCGGGAGGTGGATAGCAATAACCATGTTTTTGTTTTGTTTTGTTTTTTAACCTTTGTCTTTCAAAGAATGGAACCTGCAGGTATAATCCTAAAAACTCTGCTGCTAAAGTCATGGGCTTTGTGAAAGTCCCATCAAGCGAATCTGCCCTAGTGAAGGCTGTGGCCACTGTGGGGCCCATCTCAGCTGCAATTGATACTAAGCACCACTCATTCCAGTTCTATAAGGGTGGTAAGTGCTTTTCTTTTCAGTAATCACATGAAAGAGCTGTGCGTCTGTGGTGGTATTGTGTTCCCCCAAAATATTGTGCACTCTAATAAGCTTATCTGGGGTCAGAGACAGAACAGCCACAATATTAAACATAGAGGATAGGCAGTGGTAGCACACACCTTTAATCCTAGCATTCCAGAGGCAGAAATCCAAGGGTTCAAGGATACAGCCAAGCATGGTGACTCACGCCTTTAATCCCAGAAAGTGAGCCTTTAATCCCAGGGAGTGACTGCAGAAAGCAAAAAGGTATATAAGACACGAGGACCAGAAACTAGAAGCATTTGGCTGGTTAAGCTTTTAGGCTTTGAGCAGCACAGTTCAGCTGAGACCCATTCTGGATGAGGACTCAGAGGCTTCCAGTCTGAGGAAACAGGACCAGCTGAGGAACTGGTGAGGTGAAGTAGCTGTGGCTTGTTCTGCTTCTCTGATCTTCCAGCGTTCACCCCAATACCTGCCCCAGGTTTGTTTTTATTAATAAGAACTTTTAAGATTCATGCTACATGCGTCTCACCACAGCTCATCAACTTGATGGCTCATTTTGACATAAATAACTTGAGTTGTAAATATCACATTCAACAGAAAAAATATTGATATGTTTTGGTTTTGCTTGACATTAATTAAGAACAATCCTATGAACTTGTGTTCAATATTGTTTTTTAATTAGCAAGATCATTTTCTGCAGTTGCTGAATCTTTATGATTTTAAATAGATAGTCCATTGATGTAGTTCAGTCTTACAGATGCTTCTTGATTCCTGTATTTTGTATTTCATGTGTTTTCCTTGGACTGACACACTTTCTAAGTAGGATGGGTTTTCTTACAACCATTCAAGCAAGTGTTTTCCCTGAGGATTTATGCTAACCTTTATTTCTGTTATGCTACATAAGAGCTTGTGTCCCAAGCCTTGCTAACTCAGAATCACTCCTGTCTGTATGTCATTGCACTGAAATTAGAAATGTTTCCATTATTGTGGGTGACAGCAGTCACTGTGGGGTCACTGGAACCTCTCAATCAGCTTTGATTTTACCTGTCAGGCATGTATTATGAGGCAGACTGTAGCAGCAATAATCTGGATCATGCTGTCCTGGTGGTCGGCTATGGTGAAGAATCAGATGGCAAGAAATACTGGCTGGTCAAGAACAGGTATAAATAGCCAAAAACATCTACATTTGAAACACTAAAGAAAGCACTGTATGCAGGCAGTATTTGGGTACAAATTTCAGCAATTTACCCCATATATTTTGAATACAGAAGTTCCAGGTTGTGATTATTGTTAATATTCTGATCCTGCCCCTTGGCACCACCCTATGCCCTGATATAGAAGCCTATTCTTTTTTTTTTTTAATTAAGAAATTTTCTATCATTTTACATACCAACTACAGATGCCACCTCCTCCCTCTTCCCACCCCTCAGTGTTCCCCCCCAACCCATCCTCCATTCCCACCTCCTCCAAGTCAAGGTCTCCCAGAGGGAGTCAGCAGAGCCTGGTACATTCAGTCGAGGCAGGTCCAAGCCCCTCCCTCCTCCACCAAGGCTGTGCAAGGTGTCACACCTTAGGCAGTGGGCTCCAAAAAGCCCGCTCCGCCCCTTGCTCTCTCTTCTTTTCCCGCTTTCCACCCACGAGGTGCGCACCTCTTGAACCCCTTGTCTCCCCCCTCTCTCTCTTTCCCTCCTCCCATCTGTCTCCCTCTTTCTGTCTTTCTGCCTCTTCATCTCTCTATTATATGATAAACCATTTCCACTCAGATGTATCTCCACCCACCGCCCCACTGCCAATGGGCCACCCGCCAGCCCACCACTGCATCTGGGGGTCCTTCCGCATACAATTCCTAACAATTATAATAACAAGATGTCATGTTTTGGGAGTGTTAAGATGGAATTTGAACCACTACATTTCTAATTTTGAGCCAAATGCGGGTGGAGAGATGCCTTGTCCTATTTCTGCTGTGATTCACAGTCCTGTTTGATGCAACAGTTGGTATTCAAGAGTTGACCCTCTGCCTTCTGGTCCTGTCTATTAAGTGTGCGTGGCCTCTGTCTCTGTGTTTCAATCAAAAGTTAATGTAATGATGCTTCTGCACTGTGTTCTTTCTACCTAATGGTGTATATGCTCTTCTTCCAGCTGGGGTGAATATTGGGGCATGAATGGCTACATAAAGATGGCCCGAGACCGGAACAACAACTGTGGAATTGCTTCTGATGCTTCTTACCCCATCGTGTGAGGAACTGGACAATAAGAAGGAAGGCGTGGACAAGGGACAGCATGTACAGAACAGGGCTATGCCATCTACCCCACTGTATGAGCTGCTGGAGAACAAGGAAGAAGAGGGGATGGCATGTGCAGAGGAGGGCTTCCCCCTTCATGACCAGCCTCTGCTGTGTGGGGGATGACACCTGAGTCTCTGAAGGTCCATGTTATGGAATGAATTCCGGGGCATTTTACTCCAATTAAATGTAACTGCCACTCTGCTGCTGTAAGTAGCTTTGTATCAATATGTTCTGAATTTACATTTTTTTTGTAAGACGTACACAATTTTTATAAAACCTGTGTATGAAAGACTGATGGTTCTTCCTTTTGTCTTTGTTTCAATGGCTTCTCTTAGTCAAACATGCAATTCAGTGTGAAGACACAGAGAAGGTGGTGATGGTATTTAGGGAAAAAGGATGGGTGACTCTGTTGTCAGGTCAATATTCCAGCCATGATCAGATAAAGTCACAGGCTTCGTGAAAGTCCCATCAGGAGAATCTGCCCTAATGAAGGCTGTGGCCACTGTGAGGCCCGTCTCACTTTCAATTGATGCTAAGCACCGCCATCAACCATGGTGTGAAAATATGAGAAAATTTCAAAATCTTAAAATTTTAATTCACACATATTTTCAAAGTTTAAATTATTTGCCATTCTGTGAAATGAGATGGCACTTTGGGCTGTTCCATTGAACTGGGCCTGGGCCTTAACGCTTTTTCAGACATCAGTCCTGTGTTCTGGCTACCCTGTCACCCTGTGACAGAAGCCATCTCCGTAGCCAGGTTTACTGTCACAGGATGCTAGCATGCTGAAGTGACACTTTCATAGCCCTACAGGGCCTTACAATGCTACATGGACACTGCTATTCCTTCACTTTTCTTAATAGTTACTATTGATAGCCCTCAGCACGTATAACAGATATGCATGAACTCAGAGATCCAGTGAGTCAGCTCTCTCGGAGCTACAGAAGAAACACAGCTTATCTTGTCCCCAAGCATTTGGTGGTTGCAAAAAGAAACAAAACAGTCCATATAGGTTCAAAAAGAGCTTATCTAAAGAGTACGGTTAACTTCCCCATTCTGCCCTTAAAGACCCCTTCTTCCCCCTTTCCTGTCATTAAAACAACAAGCTTTGAATTGTGCATCTGTTCTCTCTTGAACTCTGGTCAATGAGTGACTGTGTCTTGTACCCTGATCACCATGTGACTAGAACTTGAGACATCACTGCTCTGGCATTAAATATATCCTGCTCCTGCTGATTTTGATCATCTAAACATCATCTTTTGTTTCTTCCTACAAACTTAATCCCTATCCTTTCTTACATAAGGTCCATACAGGGCAGAGCTGAGTAGGATGATCAAACATCTGGCTCTTTATAGAAAGGGTTGCTGCCAGTGATAACATGTGCTGTACATTGCAGTCAGGTAGTATGATGTGAGATTCAGTTTTGGATGTGGACACATTACCATCCTGCAGACCAGGCACCTGTGGTGGGATGGATGCAGGAACTGACACCTGAAGGTCAGGAAGCAGACAGTTAGAGGGAGGACTATAGAAGGAAGAGGAAAGAGCAGGTTCAATGGGCCTGAGGAACCGACAGTTAACCTTGTCCATGGCAGAGAAAGACAGAATGGTGACTGTGCCAGACCCAGAGTTTGGGCATAGAGGTGCAGGTGATGAGTGCTGCAGGATGTGATTAGGGAGGGTAATATCTCACAGATGGAGTGGTGAGTTTAATTTGACCCAGACCTGTGAGGCAGGTAGGTGTGAAGATTGCCTTAGGGTCAGAACTCCATCTCCCTGTCAGATTTCAATGCCAGGTTCTGGGGAAACTGGAGCCTTGCTAGCAGGAGTCATTGACAGCCAAGGAAGATGTGCAGGTGTTTTCTGGTCTTATCTAGGCTCTGGTACTCTGTGAGGAGAAAAGAAATGGAGGCAGAAATTCCCATGTAGGTGCTTTAAGCAAGTTGTTAAAACTCAAGAAGTGAGTATCACCTATCCTCCAAGACTACCTTCATGATCTTCTGGAGGATTCTAGGTCACCATTCTTGACTCCTGGCAGTTGGAAGCTGAGTTCTCTTCTCCAGCTGACCTCAGCCTGCACTGCTTTCCAGAGGTCTCTCTTCACCAAAGCCTTTGGGCTTTGACCGAAACACAGCCAAGAGTGACCGGAGAAGAATCTCTGTTGCCCCACGTTTGTCGGGTTTTGGTGAGGCAGTACTGTGTCAACACTGTACTTAAGCCTCGTCAAACAAATGGCTCCTCTCTGCTTGCAGCCAAGCATCAGCATAATTATCTCATACACTTTCAATTAGAGTTTGCACAGCACCAAGCGTGGGGATAACACAGCACTTGGTGCTTGACAAGAGATAAGAAAGGAAAAGAATCTATGATAAAGTACTCCTTGTAGATAGTCTGCTGTAGCTTGAGTTTTCCTGCCTTGCCCACAGTCAGGACAAATCTCTGTCACCCGCCAGTCCCACAGCCGCTCAGATCCAACAGAGTAAACACAGAGACTTACATTGCTTATAAACTGTATGGCTGTGGCAGGCTTCTTGCTAACTGTTCTTATATCTTAAATTAATCCATTTCTATAAATCTATACCTTGCCACATGGCTCATGGCTTACTGGCATCTTCACATGCTGCTTGTCATGGTGGCGGCTGGCAGTGACTCCCTCCGCCTTCCTGTTTTCTCTGTTCTCCTCTCTGTTAGTCCCGCCTATACTTCCTGCCTGGCCACTGGCCAATCAGTGTTTTATTTATTGACCAATCAGAGCAATTTGACATATAGACCATCCCACAGCAGTCTGCAGTAAGTCACACATGGTACAGTAAATTCATTGTCATTCACAAAAAAAATTCCAAATGGGTGAAACAAAGGTCTGAACAGAATGTCTCCCCAGTTCACTCCACACACACTTATCATCAGATATCATCAGATGCCATATTAATTGGACACACAACAAAATTTTTCAGGAATTTCTTACAAGGCTATTGACCAGAAATTAATAGTGATCAGATAATTTCGGGAATTCCCATTGTGTAGAAAAGATTCCACACATTGAAACAATGAGAAATGTCATAGTCCCACAAAGGAATTCTAGAACAAACACAGCAGGAATTATCTTAGGGAGGTGATTTTGTGGTGGGTTTTAATTAATATGCCTAGAGATCTCAAATGGAAATTGAAGTCGAATCAAGGCCATTTCCCCCCACAGTCACCATCCTGAATCCACACTGCCCCTTGCACTGCAGAGCCTCCTTATTCCTAGTATTTCTCACAAGACAGAGGCAGAAGAGAAAGAAGACATGAATGACGAGATCCTGATTATCACTGCTGAAAGCCCACCACATGACTGAGGAGCACATTCAAGCTCTCCACAGGACCCATCACTGACACCCCAGTGTGCATACAACCCCTGTGCTGAGTGTGGTGCCTTTCACTATTTCAAAAACAACACTGGTTCCTCCAGAGGCCATACCCCCAGGCCAAGTTGTCCTTTCAAGATGCCTCCTACCTGGCAAATTCCCAATATTCAGGCACCATGTCACCACACAAATAACCCACAGGTGCCATCATACTCTGGGAAGCTATACAGTGTCTTAATTTGTTGTTGAGGATTTCATACAGTAGGACTGTGTCTATTCATTTCCAGTCCTCCCTTTCCTTTCAATTTCTCTTAGTCCTCCCACCACATCTCTCAGATTCAGGACCTCTTCTATAAATTTTATTGTAGATAAAACCTACAAAATCCATTTAGAGTTGCTTGTATGTATATGTGTTTAAAGATGACCTGGAATTTTGTGATTTATCCAGAGACTTGTCCCTGTACAAGGCTGATTCTCCCCCACAGCAGCTATTGATTGCCTGGGGTTCATCTGGGAGTGGAGCCTTGTGACATTTCCACCATCTGTGCTGGCGTTTCATAGGCTTTGCTGCTGGCTAGGGCTATTGTTTGCTTCTTTTGACTCAGCAAGTGCATAGCATGTTTGGTAATGGAAATATGATATATGACTTAGGATCCATTATACATACACCTTTGACCAATAACGCAAAAGGAGGTTCCCTGTTGCCTGACACTGGGGTTTTTCTTAGTCTATAGCTCTTTTGAGAAGCATTATCACCCCATGTGATAGAACTCCAATAAAGCCACACACATACATACACACACACACACACACACACACACACACACACACACACACACACATTGCATTTTTAAGAAAACATAGGATGATTCTCCCCTATGGGTTTTTCAGTCACCCTTGGTGTTATTCACTCCTGTGCCCTCCCTCGCTGTCCCCATTCCCCCCCTCCAGGAGACTGTCCAAGTGCCCCTACTTTGTCTCAGCACTCCCATAGCATCTGTGTCCTGCTACCCCCCTCTAGAGCTCCTTCTTCCACCTCAGGACCCCTTTTTACTTTCCTGCTTTCTGTGATTACTCCAGGTTATATTCTCACATCTAAAGACTCAAAGCTGGAATCCACAAAGAAGAGCGGATATGAAACATTTGTCTTCCTGGTCTGGGTGCCCTCACTCAATATAGTGTTTTCTGCTTCCTTTCATTTACCTGCAAATTTCTGACAAGGCTGGTGTGGTGGAGTCTTAAGTAGCTCTAGCTAAACTCACTAGGTAGATGTGCTAACTAGTTTTATGTCAACTTGACATAAGCTGGTGTCATCAGAAAGGAAGGAGCCTCAGTTGAGAAAATGCCTCCATTACATCAAGTTATAGGCAAATCTGTAGGGCATTTTCTTAATTAGTGATTGATGGGGGAGGGCCCAGCCCATTGCAGGTCCTGCACTGGTGGTCCTGGGTTATTAAGAGAGCAGATTGAGCAAGCCAGGGGAAGCAAACCAGTAAGCAGCACCCCTTCATGGCCTCTACGTCAGCTCCTGCCCAGTTACAGTTTCTGTGCTGAGTTGATTCAAGGATGAACACTGATGTGGAAGTGTAAGCCAAATCAGCCCTTTGG